AACGGATTTAGCGAGTTCCGGTGCACCGATATCAAAAAACTATTCGTTTGAAACCCGCTCCCCGCCCAACCCGTCCCAGCCCGCCCTCAATGTTACAGTACCGGGCTGAACCGGGTTGTAAATGAGTCAGCCCGACCCGATTAACAAGTATAGTTCGAACTTCAAAACCTGTGATTTTCAACTTTGATCTCGTAGATGTGTATTTGATTCTTAAATGGCTAAACAATAAAAACTTTATAATACCTGGTTATCCTTTAAATAATGGTCCTCCAAATAGCTATTTGTTCACTTGCCCCGACTAACCCTCATCACACAAGGTGGACTTTCCTTTAAATACAAATCGGCCGCACAAAGGACATACGTATCAGCTTAAGATGATAGAGGCAAAAAGTGTTAGCGGCGAGGATAGAATATCACAGTTGCATGTGTAAATCATTTATTAGATCTTATACAAATTACCCCAAAAGAGGCAGCTCAAACTTGTGTCTTATCCAAGAGATGATACAATTTTTGGATTTCAGGGCCTAATCTGGTACTCAATCAAGAACGAAAGTCTTGGGAAAATTTTGTCAAGTATGTTGATCAGTCCCTACGACCCCAAGTTGAAAAACATTTATGTCTTGAGCAATTCAGCATTACATGTGAATATCATCATAAAAAATTGGCTTCTCATATAGACCGTTGGACTGATTTGGTGGTTAAACTTAACGTCAAAGTGCTAGAGCTTCACTGTTGGAATATTGCTGCGAACCACTATAGTTTACCTGATGCTATTTATGCAGCTAGAGAACTGAAAACATTGACACTAGAGAGGTGTAAGTTTGAATTTGTTATTAGCACAACTAAAATCATAACATTCTGTAATCTAAAAATCCTTGATTTGCGGAGTGCCCATATATTAGAAGACCAATTGCAAAGACTTCTCGCCATTTGCCCATTCATCATGACTCTACAACTACTTAATTGCTAGAGTATAAACAAATTACATATTTTTGGCCTATTACATCTGGAGAATTTGGTTGTTGTATTGGGAAAACTCAAAAGCTTGATAGTCCAGGCTCCAAATCTTCGATACTTCGGATATAGTGGGATGGAGCAGTTGAGCGAAGGAAGTGTGGACAATCTTGTTCCTTGCAAAATTGCAATTGTGAATGCTTACAATACTTTAGAAACACTCAAACTCTGAGGTGCCATCACAGATCAACAGTTTCAAGACATATTTTCTAAGCACTCAAACATTTCAGAATTGGCTCTAAATAATTACTATGACCTGAAAAACATAGAGCTTGTGAGCAAAAAACTCAAGAAGTTGACCTTATCGAAGTTGAGGAATGTAGAACAAGTTAAGATTCAAGCTCCAAATTTGACGGAATTTGTTTTTGAGGGTGACAAAATTTCCTTCATCGTTCCTCACTTTGTTCAAAAGTTCGACTATTCTAAAGGTCTTATATTAGCAATATTTTCCCAGAAGGTAAAAAGTTTCACTTTTTTTTTTGCTCATGTGTGGGCGGTAAAATAAAAATTATTTAACGCATTACTTCTTGAATTTGGTTTAAGCTCTATGACATTGACAATAATATTGCAGAGTAAAGCCATCCTTATATATGAAGATCCAAAAGAAATTGACATTCCCCCAAGTGAAGATGAAGTCAAGATACTCATTAGACCTATATTGCATCTTGAATCATTCATAGATGATTTAATGGACATGTATCCCAGTACTATGTCAATACTTCCAAGTACAAATAGTAAACTACTCCAGGTAATTTCTTGCTTTACTTGAAAATCCTTTCAAAAGTAGTACTTGTAGATATCCAGATATAAGTGTTTAACTTTGAATGTAATACAATCCGATCATACAAAAAATACATTATACATGCAGGTAAAATTGGAATTAGTGACCTAAAACATAAGGTAGGTAACTTGTTACAACATGTTGAAATACGTTAAATCTAAGACATAAACATGCAATAGGCATTTGCTTAATGTTGATTGATTGTCCTATAACCATTAGCCTATTCTCTATATCTTATGGTTGTGTTTCAAATGCACAGGTGCTGCCTACATTAATAGGATGCCCAGATGATGCCAAAACCAAGCGTTCCTACTGGCAGCGTCGATTGAAAGAAGTCAGTACGTACACAAGTGAGAAGGAAATGGACGTTGTTTGGTATAGTTGGCTAAAGGCCACGTCTCTGTTTGATCAAGTGGCTACTTTCATGTTCAAATGGTAATAAAAAGCTTGGTATGATTGTCTGAAGAGCCACAGATACATCCAACATTTAGTCATAGTATGTTCTGAATAAGTATGGTCTATTATATATACACCTAAAGTAAGTGAGCATTTAGTCTTACTGTCACAGGCCTTGGCCATTGTCAAATTTGAGAACAATGTTTACCTCCTCTATTTGGCTTCCCAATGTCATTAATCAGTTCCTGAGCCAGCAAAATATTTCCAGTGCTTGCCCCATTCTTCACAAAGCCGCTCTAAACCAGTTAGTCACAATACCCTCTATTTTTGGTTTTTTAATATACGTCTCTTTTCTACTCCAAAAACGATGCCGTTTAATTTTTTTAAAATATTCCCCAAATAAGAAAAATTTCCCCCTATTCCCCAAATCAGAAAACGATCGGTTCTAATCCCAAGCCCTTCGATACCTCCCTCCCTCCCTCTCTCTCTCTCTCTCTCGTTCAATTTCAAAAAGAATCGCTTCCATAGTCATCTCCTCCGTTAGCCCCTGCCCAGAAGGTGGTCTCTCTCAAAGACAAAGGGCTTCATCTTGGTATCTAACTAAAAGTCCATGTGATCAATAAGAACCAATTCTAGTTTTCCAATTTTCAGTATTTATTCCTCTTTTGCATAAATATTTAATCCCAATAAATTTTCTTTCACCTCTATGTGCTTTCTTCTCTTTGTTGTAGTTCAATTTCAAAGAACATTGCTTCATAGTCATATCCTCCATTAGCCACAAGCCACTGCCGCTTCTCGTTAGGTCGCCTCTCTTCGTCTCTCGCCGTCAGCCCCAGAGGCGGACCCACATGGGGTTAAGAGGGTTCATATGAACCCGATTCGTCGAAAAATAACAATGTGTATATAGGTATATTTTTCTGTCTTCGAAAAAGTAATGGTATAAACATTATTTTGAACCCACTTCAAACAAGTGAATGGCCTAGCCTGCTGGTAAATAGGCTTCAAATTCTTCCAATGGTCTTGAGTTCTAAACTAGTTAGTCACAATGCCCTCTATTTTTGGTTTTTTTAATATACGTCTCTTTTCTACTCCAAAAACGACACCGGTTCTAATCCTAAGCCCTTTGATGCCTCCCTCTCTCTCTCTCTCTCTCTCTCTCTCTCTCTCTCTCTCTCTCAATTTAAAAAAGAATCGCTTCCATAGTCATCTCCTCCGTTAGCCCCTGCCCAGAAAGTCGTCTCTCTCAAAGACAAAGGGCTTCATCTTGGTATCTAACTAAAAGTTCAGGTGATCAATAAGAACCAATTCTAGTTTTTTAATTTTCAGTATTTATTCCTCTTTGGCATAAATATTTAATCCCAATAAATTTCCTTCACCTCTATGTACTTTCTTCTCTTTGTTGTAGTTCAATTTCAAAGAACATTGCTTCATAGTCGTCTCCTCCTTTAGCCATAAGCCACTACCGCTTCTCGTTGGGTCGCCTCTCTCCGTCTCTCGCCGTCAGCCCGTCAATTGTCACTATCAAGTTTCTCTTTGATTTTTAATCTTTTTTTTTTCTTTCAGTTACAAAGCCTAAGAAGGGCAGGTTTTTCAATTTTCTAAATGTATGTTCTTTCTTATCTCTGTGCTTGTGCATCTCCAGTTGGTTTAACTACAACAGTGATGTGTGCCGCTCACTCTATTGGTTAATCTTATGGCTAAATCAGTTGTAGTCATAGCCCCAAATAAGTTTTCTGTATATTTGAGAGAAATTGATGCTATGGAATGGACATAGTTGGTCTTGCATTATTGTTAGTTAAATTTGATGCAATGAAACTGAAAGTAGTATGGAATTAATGAATAGCCGAGAAAATTTTGATGTTATGGCTGTTGGCTTGCTTATGGACATCTCTCCAACTATCTAGGAAGATCACCTTTGCTGTTATCCATGAATGAAACTTTCATTATAATAGTTCTGTAATCTGATGAGTGATCTTTACTTGGGTTGTCTTCGGCCACATTAAAAAGTTATAAACCATAAAGTAAGTCAAATCAAAATCTCAGAATAGGACTGAAGTTCCAAAATCTTAGCGTATTCTTTTACTTTTAAATCTTGTTTGCCATGCTAGTTTAAATTTAAGGTTAAACATATACAAAATTATTCTTCTAATTCTAATTTGGTAATCCAGTTTGTGTTACAATGAAGAGATTTTACCCTCCAGTATCTTCCAAGTTGCTGCAACCAAGTTCATCCTCTCCAATTGCTACTCCCGTGGAACAAAATTTGAACCAATTAGAAGAGCAACCTCAATCCTCTAAAAGACAAAGACAAGGAAAACATCTTGATTCTTTACCGAATGATCCAAAGGAGAGAATACCCATTAGAGATTATCATCCAAATGAGCATGATGAGATTAGAAGAGAATATCTCTGAAGAGGTCCTTACCAATCCCGATATCATAAGTTTCGTCAAAGAGATTTTTCGGACTTAAAGCGTCATTTCAATCCTAAATGGTTTGGTGAATATCGTAATTGGTTGGAGTACGGTGTGATAGAAGATGCAGCTTATTGTTTGTGTTGTTACTTGTTTCAAGATGAAGACATTCATCAAGGTGGAGGCGATGTATTTTCAAGTTTAGGATTTAAGAGTTGGCAAAAAAAGAAGAGATTCGATATGCATGTTGGTAAGTCGAGCAGTGTTCATAATCATACAAAAAGGAAATGTGAAGATCTATTAAAACAAAAGCAGTCAATTCAAACTTCATTTGATAGGTGATCCAGTCAAACCAAGCTCGAATACAAAATTCGCTTAAAGGCTTCAATTGAGGTTATGAGACTCCTGTTGAATCAAGGATTGGTATTTCGTGGACATCATGAAGATGAATCATCATTAAACAAGGGTTACTTTCTTGAGATTCTTTCATGGTATGTAGAGAGGTGTGATAAAATCCGTGATCTTGTGTTGAAAAAGGCTACAAAGAATGATGAGTTGACCTCTCATAAAATTCAAAAAGACATTATCATTGCAGGTAAAATTGAAACAGTTAAAGCAATTATGGACGATCTAAATGGAGACTTTTTTGCATTGCTAGTTGATGAATCATGTGATGTATCACGCAAAGAGCAATTAGCTATTGTCTTGCGATACTTTAATATATGTGGATCTGTGGTGGAGCATTTTATTGGGATCGTTCATGTTCGTAATACTAGTACTTTATGTTTAAAGGAAGCAATTGTTGATTACCTTGCTCAACATTCTTTGAGTTTATCTTATGTGCGTGGACAGTGCTATGATGGAGAAAGCAACATGCAAGAGGATTTACGTGGCCTCAAAACTTTGATTCAACAAAAAAGTAAATTCGCTTATTCCATTTATTATTTTGCACACCAACTTCAATTGACTCTTGTTGCGGTATCCAAAAAGTGTCTTGAAGTGGGAGAACTTGTATTGTCGATTTCTAATTTATTGAATATAGTGGTATGTTCTTTTAAACGTATGGATTATCTTCGAGAATCTCAAGCAGAAAAAGTTCAAGAGGCATTAGACATGGGTGAACTTGAAACTGGTAGGGGTTTGAATCAAGAACTTGGTCTTGCCAGAGCTGCTGATACTCGTTGGGATTCGCACTACAAATCTTTTAAGAACTTTATTTCTATGTTTGGCTCAATTATTGATGTTCTTGATACTATCGTTGTTGATGCCCGGACTTTAGAAGAAAGAGCTAAGGCAAAGGAATATCTTAGCACTTGTCAAACATTTGAGGTTGCTTTCATATTGCACCTAATGAGAGATATTTTGTGGATCACAAATAAGCTTAATACATCCTTACAAAAAAAAAAGGAGCAAAATATTGCAAATGCTATTCTACTTGTTGAAGTGGCAAAGAAACAGTTGCAAAAGCTAAGAGAAGAAGAATGGGATTCACCTATTGATAAGGTGTCTGCATTTTGTGTCAAGTATAATATTTCGATACCAAACTTTGATGACTTCTATGTTAACTCTGGAAGATCTCGACATAAAGTTGCTGATTATACTATTTTACATCACTATCGTATTGATATATTTTTAAGATTATTGATTGGCAAGTTCAAGAACTCAATGCTCGTTTTAATGAGGTGACAACGAACTTGCTTGTTGGAGTAGCTTGCGTAAATCCAGTTGATTCATTTTTCAGTTTTGACATAAACAAGATATTGATGATGGTTGAATTGTATCCTGACGATTTTGATGAGAATATAATGGTTACACTCAAGAATCAACTTGAAACTTATATTGTTGATGTTCGTGATGTTGATGAAAGGTTCTCAAATCTACAAGGACTTGTTGATCTTTCTGAAACACTAGTTAAGACAAAGAAGCATTTGAATTATCCATTTGTGTTTCGCCTTGTAAAATTTGCTTTGCTTCTACCAGTTGCCACTACTATAGTTGAAAGAACTTTTTCGGTGATGAATTTGATCAAGAGTGAATAGCGAAACCGAATGAATGACGAATTCATGAGCAGTTGTTTGGTACCTTATGTAGAAAGAAAAATATTTAACACCATTTCTGATGAGACTATTATGAATACGTTTCAGGAAATGAAAACTCGTAGAGGACAATTGTAATGATATATTTTATTAATATATAGTTTTTGTTGACCTCTTTGTATATTTGCTTCTTTGCATTTTGAACCCGCTTGATAAAAATTATGGGTCCGCCACTGGTTACACCATATCGAAATATGTTAAATCTAAGACAAAAACATGCAATAGCCATTTACTTTATGTTGATTGCTTGCCCTATAATCCTTAACCTATTCTCTACCATATCTTATATATGGTTTTGCTTTGAAATACAGGTGTTTGCATAGAGTAATAGGATGCTCAGATAATACCAAAGACAAGTATTTCTACTGGAAGCGTGAACTAAAAGAAGTCAGTATAGACATAACCAAGAAGGCAAGTTGGTATAATTGGCTAAAACCAACGCCTCTGTTTGATCAAGTGACTACGTTCATATTCGAATGGGAATAACAAACTTAGTCTGATTGTCTGAAGAGCCAGGGGTGAATCCAGCATTTAGTCTTAGTGAGTTCAGAATTGATATGTTCTATTGTATATTTCGATATCGATATGAAAGCAGTAAATTCAATTGAACTTATTAAACTCAGTCTAGATTTGCCTATGTGGTTCTGGCTATAAGACCTCTCCCTCTGTTATCATTATTTCCTTTCATGTTCCCTCTTCTTCTTCAGTTTCTTTCATCCATTAATTAACGTGGAGTAAAATAATTGAAATTCACAACTCAAGATGAAAAGGTAGTCATTTGGTAATTCTTGGTTGAAATTCACGTCCCTAAGTGACCACTAATTATTAATTGCGAGGGTATAAACAATGTACATGTTTTTGGCCTAGTACATGTGGAGAATTTGGTTGTTTTGTGCAAACTCAAAAGCTTGATAGTCGAGGCTCCAAATCATCGATACTTTGCATATCAAGGGACGGGCAGTTGAGCGAGGGAAGTGAGGACAGCCTTTTTCCTTGCAAAATCTCAATTTTGGATGCTTACAATACTTTAGAAACACTCAAACTCTAGGGTACCACCATTACAGAGCAACAGTTTCAAGACATATTCTCTAAGCACTCAAAACATTTCAGAATTGGCTCTAAATAATTACTATGACCTGAAAAACATAGAGCTTGTGAGCAAAAACCTCAAGAAGTTGACCTTATCGAAGTTGAGGAATGTAAAACAAGTCAAGATCGAAACTCCAAATTTGACGGAATTTGATTTTGAGGGCGACAAAATGCCCTTCAACCTTCCTCACTTTGTTCAAAAGTTCAACTATTCTAAAGGTCTAATATTAGTAATATTTTGTGACGAGGTAAGAATTTTCAATCCTTTTTCAGCTGTTTGTATTACTTGATTAATTGATGCATTACTTCTTGAATTTGGTTTAAGCTCTATGACATTGACAATATTATAGAGTAACGCCATCCTTATACATGAAGATCCAAGAGAAATTGGCACTCCCCCATGTGATAAAGTCAAGATACTCATTAGACCTGTGAAGCATTTTGAATCATTCATAGAGGATTTAATGGACATGTATCCCAAGACCATGTCAATACTTCCAAGTACAAATAGCAAAATACTCCAGGTAATTTCTTGCTTTACATGGAATCCTTTCAAAAGTAGCTATCTCTCGTACAATCGTACTTGTAGATATTCATATATAAAAGTTTAAATTTTCTATACTGATAGCGTAAAATATTTTTACACAATCATATCATATAAGTTTTTTTTTTTTTTTGAAAAGGTAAATGTTTTATTGATAGAAGGTACCAACATGGTACAAGTAGTACGATAACAAAGGGAATGCAGATCAGAAATAAAGATTACATCTATTGTCTGCCCCCCAGCAAGTCCAAGAAATCCATATACTCATTTGTGCTACCAATAGGACTACCCTTACACCATAAGAAAAGATTCTGCAAACATTTGTTCATATTAAAAAAATAGATGCAGGTAAGTGGGATTAGCAACCTCAAAATAAGGTAGGTAACTTGTTAATTAGAACAAGTTAAAATACGTTGTCAGTGAATATATATTAGTTAAATCTAAGACATAAACATGCAATAGCCATTTGCTTTATGTTGAATGCTTGTCTTATAATCATTAGTCTATTCTATATCTTATGGTTTTGTTTTAAATACAGGTGTTGCCTACATTAATAGGATGCCCAAATAATATACTGAAACCAAGTGTTTCTACTGGCAGCGTGAATTAAAAGAAGTCAGAATGTACACAACTAAGAAGGAAATGGACGCCCTTTGGTATAATTGGATAAAACCCACGTCTCTAGTTGATCAAATGGCTACGTTCCTGTTCAAATGGAAGGACGAGCCCAACATTTGGGATTACTACAGAATTCATGATTGATGTGATTTATTATTCACGCAATTTATTTCCATTATATCTACATGGTTCGACCTAAAAGCAGTGAATTCGGACTAATTTAACCCAGTTAAGATTTGCCTGTGTGGTTCTGGCTAAGACCTCCCCCTTTGTTTTCATTATTTGCTTTCATGTTCCCTCTTCTTCTTCAGTTTCTCTCATGCACTGATTAGAGTAAACTAAAATAAGTGAGCACCAGTGCTGTCAAAGGCGCGCTTAAAGTACGCTTAAGCTCTGAAGCGAGGCGGAAAACATGTTGAGCGCTTCGCCCTCGATTAGCGGGCGCTTCAATGTTGTCATCGAGGCACTAAGGTATACTTTTTCCTTGCTAATGAGTGTAATCCTAGAAGGAGACACTAAAACATTGATATTCACTTTACTGCAAATTTTTTTAACTTCTTTGTCCATATGTTTGTTATTCATACTTATAATTTAGTCTTAAACTACACATATATATTTGTATTTTTTTCTACTTTTGCGTCTTTCCACATTAAAGTCCATAGTTTATTTGCACTTTTTGCTTAAAGCTCGGACCTTAGAGTTTTTTTGCACTTTTTGCCTATGATAACACGGGTGAGCACTTGGTTGAAATTCACGTTCAAATTATTGAATATTGGACAATTCCTCTCCTGATGATATACCAAAATCAGCAAAATGCTAGACATGAAATAAAATAGCATGATATCATTAAGCACTAAGAGACATCACGCTCCTATTAGTTCCTTCATTTTGTTTGCTAATAACAATTACTCCTATTAAACTTCTTTGAGATTAAAAAAATACGGCGAGATTCCATAGTCATAACCAAACAATAACTGTTCGAAGGCTCAAAGATAAGTGAAAGGTTATACAACTAGTATAAATTAACCTTAATTAACTCGTTAATAAGGTCAAGGGGCCACCTTGTCTCTATATATACTACTAGTAAACTTGTCCAAATTTCAAATGATCGTGGAAGACCTCAACAAAGGCCTCAGCTCTGTTGTTGTCCCTGATTTAAGCCACAACTTTACTAATCAACTAAGAGAAATAGGAATCCTTCTTTCTACCGGTGAATGTAGGACACCCCAAACACTTATCAAAATATAGGAAACCCCAAATATTAAAGAAAAAAGTTCTTGTTCTTGAAAGTAGTGCATGATAGCGAAGAGAATGATTAGCATATTATGCTAGAATCATGATGTGGTGCTTTAGAGCTATTATGCTGTTTCTTTAAATTTTTGTACTTGTTATGGATAAAAGTTGTAGCCTTTGCAAATTACCATTCTAAACTCAAAGAACGAATTCAGTAAACCAAAACAGCTACCAATTCTCCTAAAATCAACTACTATTGAATTCATTTATCTCTATAGGTTTTTGATAAGTTAAACAATAACAAAATGTCTTCAGTAGATTTGGTTTTTTCAGAGAGTTATTGTTTACCCTAAAATTCGAGTAACAATTAAACTTATTTAGTGGTTTTAAGGATACATGATTTAATCCAATATCAATTGATAAACAAGGAATTGAATAAATAATTTGAATAGTAAAATAAATCAAACCAGTGTTCTAGCAGTGCTTTCGACCTCAATTCGAGATGGTCTCAAGATTGGGTAACAAGAACAGTAAAGAACAGAAAGTAAACAATGATGAACAGTAATGGATAGTAAGTGAAATAGAGAGCAGCGTTTGTGTATATTCTTCTCAGTCAAAAAACTCCTCCTTACAAATGAATGGGGTCCCTCTTTATATAATAGAGGAGTCCTAAATAAGGTACAATTCTAATAACGGAAACAAATCCCATGATTGGTGTCAATAACCGCTTGATTCGATCTGTTCCGGAATTTCTGCCGAGATCTTCGGTCGGTTGTTAATATCTCGTCATTCCGTTATTATGCTCGGTCTCGATCTTCAGTGAGCATTTCGATCTTCATGCTCCATACTCTGCCATTGAGCTCGAGCCTGGTCTATTACGAGCTTACTCTTGAGGCAGCTCCTCGTGCCTATGAAATCAGACATGTCCCATTTCGACCGTATACAGATAGTCCCCGCGTTTCTTGGAATAAAATTGTCACACCCCTTTTCTACCCCCAAAAGATATTAATGTATTTGGATTGTGGGTTAAAGAGTTTTTCCAATTAAAGTGATAATTTTTGAAATAAGGATTATTTTATTTATAGAGTCGCCACTTGGAATTGATTTTTTGCCGGTGTTCCAAGTCACCTTTTATTTGAATCCCTAGTCAAAGGAAGGTTTGACTCTATTATTATTGGTTCGCGAAAAAATAAAGTCCGGGTAAGGAATTCTGTTGACCGGGGAGAAGGTGTAAGGCATTCCCCGAGTCCCGTGGTTCTAGCACGGTCGCTTTATTGACTACAACTTGGCTTAATTATCTGATTTAATACATATTTGAGAAGCCGCTTTTAATAATTTAACTCAATCGCTTTATTTTTTAGTATTTATGGAGTTATTTTTGAACAAGCTACGATGTCATACACTTGTCGTTTTTGTA